TAGTGAGACGTCAAATGAACTTGTCAAGACTATAGTGAATCAGTGATGGAGAGTTGATGTGGCTTCTGAAAAGTCTCTTAACTTTCCCTTCCTCATTTGTAAACCTAGTGCTTTTCTTTGGAGATGTACACCAATGGGGAATGAAAGTAAAATCCCTGGCTGGTTGCATAAGATCCCTGTCTTTGATTATGAGTGAAAAAGATTAGCTAATTATTACTAGGAAATTAGTGCTCAAGATCCAAATGGAGAGTGTACAGCATAGCCACTTGGGTGGGGTTGGGGGTGCAGAACTGTGGGAAAAGGGTGGGTGCTCCATCACACCAGGATGCCATCTTCCATTCCCAGTGTTATGGGTGGCAATGGTGTGAAAAGAAATTAGGAAGAAGCCCTCTGTGAACCTGTCCAGTGCTTTAGTCCTAGCACTGTGCAGCCTTTTTGTAACACTCTTAAGGACAGGCCCTGCCACCTCTTTCACATGTTTTATATGTTGGAACCAAGGCTGGTTCTTTTATAGTAGGTGCCCGTCTTATGTTAAGTTACCCAGAGGAGGCTCACAGGTGAGGATTCATGGCATCTATCAAACAGTCCTGAGAGAAAGCAGCAAGGAGGTCGGGGAAGCAGGACAGGGAAGGGGCAGCATAAGCAAGGGCACAATTTCAAAGTTTTGTGGGCAGTGGCTTCAGCCTAATCCCATGGGAAGCTCCAGAGTGTAAGTTACACTTCAGCGTCTGCCCTGATTGGATGCAATGAAAGCTGGATTGTCAGACTCAGCATCAGACAATGGCTAAGGGCTGCCCCATGGGACGTAAGCTCCCAAGGACTTCCTGCTCTCTGCTCTTATGAGCAAAGTGACCCCAATAGCCCAAGGACAATTCTAAGAGAGTTGTAGGTGCAAAAGCACACAGACACCATGAGTGCACAGAGATGGTAAAGTGATGCAAGGGACAGTGCCCAAGGTCCCATAGCTGTTAGCAGTAGAATGAGGAGAGTTCTGCTCTCCCGACCATGTAGCCGGTGCTCTGCCACTGTATCCCACTGATTGTGCTGGCTTCTTAAATATGTGAGCTACATAACAGACATGCCCAGGGGAGCTGGAGACCTGATATGGACATCGTAAATCAAGCCTTACTGGACAGGTCAGTTTAAGAGATCTGCACAAGGCTAAGGGGGGCCAGAGGATAACCATGAGAATCGGACACCGCAATGTCAGAGTATTCGGAATTCAGAAGGTTTCCCAGAAGTGCTGCTGTCTCAGCTGATTTATTCCTTCATTTCCATTTAGTACCTGGATTTTTTTTTTACCACTTTACAGTTTAATTAGGTTAACGGCATGGCTCTGTCATTAAAAGGATTTCATTATCTCAAAACTCTCCCTCTTCCTCTCTTGCTCCTGTCCCTTGTTCTTCACTTTCAGAAAAATAACAGTGGATGTCAGCTGCCCCAAGCACGTAATTACCATTAAGACAATTACCAGGGACTCTCTTAAGAGAATATGTGAAGAGTGGCTTAAAAAGAAATGGCGTACAGGCACTGTTCTCTAACGAGAAAACAAAATCCTTGACCTGACAAGCAGCAGCCATTTGGTCCTAGTGCTTTATGGAGCAATTTTGTCATGGCTGCCATACTGGGAATAGGGGATGGAGACTAACTGGGGAGTAGGGCCCTAGGGATCCCCTCCCCTCTTGCCACAGGATTATCTTTCTTTGGCATCTATGAGCAGTTTGGTAACAATACTTTGCCTGCTGTACGGAAGTGACAAACGCCCTCTACTCCTGCCTTGATGCTGAATATATGCATCCTAAGGTGAGGACCATGTCACCGGATTGTTGCGTATGGAGCCTGGCACACTAAGGACTCATTAACAAAGTACCAGTGATACACAACTTGAGCCTCTTATTTTAAAAGCTAAATGCCCTCTTTCTCAGGAAAATTAGCATGCCCCCCAGTCCTGCCAGTTTTAGATGTCCTCTGAGCAGACGGCCTGCTAGCACAATTCTGTTGTACCACCAGGACTTCAGAATTGGGTCTTTAATGTAGATAATCTCATTTAATTTGGACATTAGCATTGACTCAGAGTCTCTGAGGCAATTTCTTTGTTCATAAAACAAGAGGTTTGGAATAAATAATCCTTTCTTTGAGGATGCTCTAAACCAGCTGAATAACAAATGTATTTTGCTGGATGCCAAATGAAATTTGCTTTTGAAATCAAAACCTAACCATTCACTTCTAAAGGCCAAATTATACAAAGGGTTTTGATTCATCAGACAAGAAGTGAAAATGCTGGAGCGTAATAAGGTGATTTCCATAAACCATGTATTATGTTTTACTGTAGGTCGTTGTAAGAAGAGGCTGTGCCCACCTTAGAACTCTAGAAAGGCAAGTGATTCTGAGGTTCCAGTAAACCTAATTTCTTGCTAATATCTTGCACAGAAGTCACAGTATACTATTTCAAATCCTATCTACTTTATGAAGGTTCAATTCCAGGTAGATGCCTTTTGAGTATCAATACGCAGTAGAAACTGATTTAATCTGACATTTCATCAATCAAAGTTCTGTAACCAGTACTGGGGCGTGAGATGAACTCAGAGTCATAAGGCTGACCCCTCAGGCACTATCTGATCCTGTCCTAGATCTGAAGTCATTAACAGTGGCCGAAATCAGAAGCCTCCACTGCTAGGTGAGTTTCACTTACATAAGCCATGCACTTAGATACAGGCAGACTGCAAAGATACTGTGGTTTGGTTCCAGACCAGCACGATAAAGCAAACATCACAATAAAGCAAGTCACACAAATATTTTGGTTTCCCAGTGCATACAGAAGTTGTGTTTATACTATACTATAGTCTATTAAGTTTGCAATAGCACTGTATCTTAAAAACTATATAAATAATTAAAAAATACCTTATTGCTAAAAAATGATAAGCATCATCTGAGCCTTCAGCAAGTCACAATCTTTTTGCAAAAAGGACATCAAAGATCACTGATCATAGATCACCATAACAAATATAATAATAATGAAAAAGTTTGCAATATTGCTGGAATTACACAGAGGCACGAAGTGTGCAAACGGTATTGGAAAAATGGTGTCGATAGACTAGTGTGACATAGGGTTTCTACAAAACTTCAATTTGTAAAAAATGCAGTATCTGCAGAGTGCAATAGGATAAATCTCCATAAAATGAGGTATGCCTGTACCTAGTTTTGCTTAGATGGAGTTAAAACCTGGTCACTTTGTCTGAAGGCATGTGACATTTTCAGTAGCTACCAACCACAGGCAAAACAGTGAGTGCTGACGCTGCAGTTGCAACCATACTCATGGTACTTACTGGAAAATAGATTATTTACTGCAGCAAATTTTCTGTATTGATTAAATGGGTTTTTTTTTTCCAAAGAGCATACCTTCTTGAACATATATTTCAAAAGTTGGGAAGGAATTTTGCTCTAGGTTTCAAAGTATTGACAGATAGTCTCATGCTTCTTGGGGGAAGCTGATATTAAACCGCAGCTTGTGATTCACAAATGTTCTCAGATCCCAGGGACATTACAAAGATTCAAGATGGCAGCATTTCTAGGGATTTGGCACTTGAATAAGCAAGCTTGGGTGGCAGTTTCCAGAGTAACCCTGGAGTCAACCAACAATACCATAAAGGTCATCATCTTTGGGAAATTATCTTCTTTGTGAGGATAAGAACAAATCTTTAATAAACAATGGAAAACCACTGTTAACCACCACTACCATTCAAAATATATCAGTTTATAGTGAGAGTTATGTTTTAAAAAAGCATCAAACCTTAAAAATTAACATTGCTTCAGGAATTTTCACATTTTGTTTGTGTAATAATAGAATTTACAATTATCTACAGTAATTTCAAACATTGCTATTGACATTACTAACTTGATTCCTGAGTTTACTTTTTCGTGTATAAAACATTGCGGCCTTTGATTACTTACAATGGGAATTAATGGGCACTTATACAAGGTTTTGCCGGTAGGCAAAAATTTTGGAGCCAATTATGTTCATAGAGTGAAGAATGAGTATCTTTTATTGTGTTCTAAATTCTTTAAAAATTGGCACACCATGTAAGTAGATGGCTGAGGATACACATGGTATACAGCAGAGGTCTGCCACAAATGGCATATGGGCCAATTTTGGCTGTCACTTGGGCAGGTGCCATACCCTTTTCTCCACCATATCCTTGGAGAAGTTATTTCACTAGAAAGTAAGCTCCACAGGGACAAGGATCTTTGTCTATTCAGTTCGCTGCTATGTCCTCAGGCCCCAGAACAATGCCAGGCCCATTGAAGGTGCCTCAAAGATAACAGCTGAAGGAAGGAATACCCTTCTAAAAAATCCACACCAGATCCTTGTTCTCTGCAAAACTTGCAGCGAATCCCGAATGGCTCCCTCAAATAATCCAGCAGGAAAGAAGTTGAAATACTTCTTTTAGAAGCTGCTCACCTCTTGGTAGGAGATCTGTTAAAAAGCCTACTTCACATGGGACAACCCTAAACTAACCAAAACATCTTCCTTACATCCTTTCTGGAACAAGACAGGGAACACATAACCACAGCTTGACCAAAATGTTAGACTCATCAGAGCACTCTATTTCCATATCATTTCAGATAAAGAGGGAATTTTTGCCATAATATTTAATATTTATTAAGTGCTTCTTAAGTCCCGAGCGCTGTTGTTTTACATGCAGTATCTTACTTAATCCTCACAGCAAGCCTTTGAAATAGGTGCTCGTAATTCATATTTTCTAGGTAAGGCAAAGGAAGCTCAGAGAGATAAAGTAACATGCCCAGTGTCCACTGCTATTAGATGTGGACCCAGACCTACCTAGCTCAAATCTGGGCTCTTAAACGTTATGCTCTACTGCTCACCTCTCTCTGTGATATTTTGAGATGCTTATTACTGGAATTTTGAATCATGAAATTTGAAAAAAAGTTCCTTGTAACAAAGGTTTAACTCCATGTATGTAGAGGAGTCAGGAGACTTACCTCGTCTTTCATTTCCTTGGCACCTCTCAATTCTCCTTTAAGCTTTAGCATTTTCTGAACTTTGTTATAAACCTGAAACAATCCAAGAATTTAAGATGGAAAAAGTATAAATGAATCTGGCTCTTTAAAGCTTTTCCCACCTGGATGTGTGCTCTCTGCAGGGAGTCTGGAAAATACCTACTTGCCTACCCATCTGTTTGTGTTTTCAAAAGTGTGTTAAAGACTTCGCCAGGAAGATAGGACCGTGGTTTTACATCTTTTCCAAAAAACCACCACTTGGTAGCCTAAATAGTTTCTGAACTCAACCTTCTTGGAAAGCAAAAGGTCTGAAATGATCTTACTTTCTAGATTTCTAAGTGTTTTATGTCTCAATTACGGTTAACATTATGTAATAATTAGGAACCAGATGGCATGTGCACACCAACTTCATTCTCATGATAACCCTGGAAGGTAGATACAATTACTCCTCCCATTTTACAGAGGAGGACACTGAAGCCTAGAGGGGCTAAGTGACTTACCCAACATCAGGCAGGCTCTCTTATTACTCCACAGGGAGCTTCCATTAATTTTTAACTGTTAACTTGGAAATATCTGATAATGTGATATTTTTGCAGCATCAAGTTACTATAATTTCTGGTGCTTGTAAAGTTAGCAAACTTGTAAAGTGCTAAGAACTATCTAAATAAAAAGCCTCAAGGAAAACCAAAGATTTTTGCACATGTATGTCTATACGTATAGGGTGATACAGTTGAGGTCATAATGCAGTGCACTTACTAAAATAATTTAATTCATTATGTTTTTAACTCTAAGACTAGAGGAAGTTTCCACCACACGCTTACCTGCAGAATAGTTCCAAGAATGAGAAGCTATCAAAATACTCATTCTTTGTAATGAACCACATACCCCACCCCTAATATAAGCCAAGAGGAAGAAAGAATGCTGGTGAGAATTTGGAATGTTTTATGGGGTTGTATTCTGAGGTCCTGCATTGTTTACCCTCTGACGTCTTCATGCACAGAGATGCATCATGGGAATGGTGATGTAGCTCAGGCTTACCCAGTAAGGAGAGGCTAGGTGATGCGGCAACAAACAATCCGCAAATCTCACTGGCTTAAAACCATGAAGGTTTATTTTTCACTTGTGCTATGTGTCCTTTATGAGTCAGCTGGGGCGCTGCTCTTCATTGTCCTCAGCTAGTAGAACCTCTATCATCCAGTGTGTTGCCTGTTGCCATGGCAGCAGAAAGGGAACTAGGTGAATCACATACAGGTTCTTAAAGTGGAAGTGACACACTTCACTTCTGTTCATATTTCATTGGCCAAAACAACTCATAAGCTATGCCTACCTACTTCCTTTATCCCCAAAAGGAAATATTGGTGAACATTACAGATGCCTTCCATGCAAGTTGTCTTGGCTGGTTGAGCTGCTGTAATAAAATATCACAGACTACATATCTTACGAACAGCAGAACATTTTTTCTCACAGTTCCAGGGGTTGCAAAGTCCACAGTCAAGGTGCCAGTGGATTAGGTGTTTGGTGAGGATCTGTTTTGGAGATGGCTGTTTCTTTTCTGCTGTAACTTCACATGGCGGAAGGGGCAAGGGAGAGCTCTGGGGTCTCTTTTATGAGGGCACTAATCCCATTCATGACGAATGACCATCCACATGACCTAATCACCTCCCAGAGGCCCCACCTTCTAATACCATCACCTTGGTGGTTAGCATTTCAACACATGAATTTTGAGGGGACACAAACATTTACTCTACAGCATTAGGCAAATGAGAGGATTAAGAACAGTGTGGCATAAGAGAACACTGACTAGAGCTCTAGGCTGGAAAGCTGCTAAACCTGGTTCAGTACCTAAGTCAAGGAGTAACTCTGGAAAAGTACTCATCTCTCCAAGCCTTTGTTTCTTCCTCTGTACACTGGGGAGTTGTACTCAATGACCATTGTCTTTCCCAGCTCTGGTTCAGTGTGCTACCTTAAAAGACATTCTTCTTTAATAGGAACCCTGAACTCAGCCCAAGCATCACATGAAAGGTAGAATGGAATAAACATATCCTTGAGAATAATATTCCTCTACAGGCAGACCTACTGGATAGTCAGGAGACGATTCTTACATCACGTGAAATCTTGTCCCAAAGACAGAAAAATGGTTGTCTAGACTGTGAGAGTTTCACCCACTATAGAGTTACACAGCTACCACTGCAAGAGCCAAGAGCATTTGGAAGGAAAAGTGGCAGGCACAGGCTCTCATATTTGCATGAAAATATATTCGACTTTACTAAGTAAAATAAGTCAAAGGAAAAATAGAGAGCTGAATTGTGTTCCATGAAGGAGACACGGGAATCCTGTGAGTTATTAACAACAGCAGTAGGCAGTTTGGAAGTGTTTATGATGGAAAAAAGGAAAGGGTTTTATGATAAATTTTCGAAGCATTTGACAGTAATGTTTGCCAGATGGATAAAGAAGAGTGCTTTGAGGGAGCCTCAAATGCTTTATAAAATGATCACGGGAACCTTCACAATGCTCTCTGAGGAGTCTGGCTGGACGAATATTTTGTAGAGGAGAGAACTCATCACTGAGGGAGGGGCTCCCTACCTGATCCGTGGATACTGGTCTCTGGGCCCAGGACTTGAATGTCTTCTCTCTTCTCAAACCCTAATTCTGCATCTTCTATGCTGCTGTCTCCTCCATCTTTTTTGAGACCTTCACTTCCTTGGGCCTCCTGTTCTCCATCAGCATCTCCAATTCTGTTGCATCTGCCCAGGGAACTGCTCTTTTTGAATTTAAAAGTTCTGCCATCTGCTTTTCCAACAGGCTTTTTCTTGGTGACGACTGTGCTCAGAAAGAAAGAAAAAACAATTGCAGTGAAAACAAAAACTTGGTCAGAGGATCCAGAGAGGTTCTCTGCCGCTCAGGTTAGCTTCAGCTTCTACACAGAGCACCTTGAAGATTCCCAAGAAACACCTAACACTGCACATTACATGGGTGACAACTGTAGCAGGTATGAACTCAGGTGTGCAAAGAAAAGGCAGCTATTTTTCTTTTACTCAATCTCTTTGTTGAGTCCCATTTCCACCAAATGGCAGACTCTTAATTATTTCTGAGAAATCGCCATCATTTTTAGGTTAAAAATGAATCAGTTTATGATTCCTTCTACCTATTTAAGGTCTCTCCAGAGTGTGCTTAAGTTCTGGGGTCCTAGGTTGCATCCTGGCATTAGGGGTGGCTTCTGGTCCATGGTCATGGTCTTCTCTCCCAGCTGGGTGTACTTGGCTGTCTGTGTCCTGGTCATCAGGCTGCATAGACTGCATCTTCCTCTTACTGCAAGCTTTGGGTCTGCTGACTCTCTTTCATCTTCTGAGGAAGTCCTAATGCAGAAAGAGAGAGGGACACACATGTGAGATTGGTCTCAGGCCCTTTCCTCTCAGACCTACTCCACCATCATCCTACCTACCATCATTTCCACCGTTCTCTAGAAAGGCGTTGAGAGGAAGGGGGCACTTTTTTGTCTCCCATTTTTGGTATTGGTCAAAAGTCCTTTCTGCTCCTGGATTGCTAAATCTATCTGGGGTTCTATCTTTTCCCCACTTTTGCCCATTTCATTGATCTCAGGTCTAATTTTCTTACTTAAACTCAAATTCCCCTCTTTTTCCTCTTTCTTAACTCAGAGAGTCTGTTTATTTTTTAGGAGAGGAAGGAAAAAGGTCCAAGTGAACAAGTTCAAAGAAACACAGGTTGAGTAGGACAGAATGGGAAACACATGTTAGTACTTTATACACCATCTACCCATATTAGATTACACAAATGCCATAATCACAGATTACTGATGCTGGCTCTCCTCCCAAGGAACTGGTAACTGCTTGGTTATCTGGATGGACTACTGGTCTTAGAGCAACACAGTCTGTTTCTTTTTGTTTCTAGGTTTTCATGGAAGAGAGGCTATTTAGTTTAAAGTTAAAGCTATCCGTGGGGGTTAACCAAAACTAACAGGTTTATCTACACTTAGCCATAAGTCTTTCCTTCCCTTTTGCTAGGTTTTAGATTTTTCTCCAATGTTCCACCTCTTACCAGTGAAAAAAGGGTGATGAATCCTACGGCTCTTAATTATTGGAATGATGAAAGGATGTCTGATGTTTCCTCTATTCTTAAAAATATGTGAGCACCTTGAATTGATAGGATGCTCCTTGTACAATAAATTACTTCTGCCCAGAATGCATGGTCAGAGCCATACTGTGCGGAGGCCTGACATGAGTCTACTTCTTTGGATACAAACCTGGTTCAAAAAGAAAAAAATCCCTGGTCATGTAGTACATCTATGATAGGGGGAGTGGCAGGACGAGATGATGCTGGAGATGGTTTTGGGGTTCAGCACCATAATTTAGTGGTAGGAACTTGACACCAAGGTCACTGACTCAGTCATAGTCCAACCCCAGGACTGAGGCTCCTCTGGAGAGGAAGCACGGCTAGTTGGGTCTTCCCAGAAGGAGACTTTGGAATGGCAGAAGAAATGAGGGCCCAGAAGGAACAAAAGAAGGGGTCCCAGGATTGATCAGACTCACTGCTGCAGGTGAAAATCTCTCCTCATGGCTATCTCTTTTGGAACTTTTCACAGAAGCTGTCAGTTGCCTATTTTCATATCCATACTTTTAATCTTCCATAGTAACAGAGCCATAATTTTATTGGAGTGTCTAGGTACTCATCCAAAAGACTACCTACCCCAGCCTCTCTTGTAGCTAAGAATGGCTATATGTCTAAGTTTTGGCCAGTGAGATGTAAGGCGAAATATTGTGGGAACTTCCAAGAAATCTTAAGGAGTAGTGCATAGCTCTTTGTCCTTCTTCCTTCCTGATTGCTTGGAATGCTGATTTAGTGGTTCCAGAAACCATTCAGAACACGAGGTGATGTTCATAGAGACAGAACTTATGTCCCTGATGGTATGGAACTACCATGCCAGCCCTGGACAGAGAGAGCAATTTCTATCTTAAGTGATTTCTATCTTAAGTGACTACTGTTTTGAATTTTTTTCTGTTTTATGCAGCTAAATCTAATGCAAATGGATAAAGTGCCCTTAATTACATTCCTCTCAAAGAGCCTTCTCTAAAACACACCCTCCATTTCTAGCACCTCCACCAGCTGCTTCTGCTACACATGTTGGAACCTATGTTTCATTGTGGACCAACTCTTTGACCTTATGAACATTTTTTTTTCAAATGCCCATTTTCTTCCGTAACTTGATTAGGTTCTCTCTTGATACATCAGCTCTTTGCTTTCACTCTGCCTCTTTCTCCACTTGTATGGAACAGGGAGATCAAGGATGGGGAAGAGAGCAACATACTTAGTCCTCCTGCTGCCACCACCATTATTCCTATACCATGTAGTAAAATTTCCTCTTTCAAAGTACACACTGCATCTAATGTTGATTGCCATTGAGATGAACTGACAGGGTGAAAACTCTCCCACCTGGTTGCTCAATATCTGTCTTTTAAAAAATGAGATATCTTCTTTCTGCCTGTCCAAAAACATACACTTTTAAGACCAAACTCAATAGCCATTTCTGTCATCTTCCCTCCAGCCACAAGCACTATTAACACTTGTATGGCAGCTACTGTATGTCAGACACTGTTCTAAACATAAAATAACATTAATCCTCATAGCAGCCTTGCCAGGTAGGTAACCCCTCACACTCCTACAGCACTTTATTTGTCTTTTAACACAACACAGTCTGCTTTTATTATGGCTATTTGTGATTTGCTTTGTCTCTCCACAAAGATAGCAGTGATCCACTATGTGAAAAAAGGAACATACATATCTTTTTGAAATAATTTTAGATTTCTGGAAAAGTTGCAAGTATAGTACAGAGACTTCCTATATACCCTTTCCTCGGCTTCCCCAATGTTAGCATCATACATAAATATCAGTATGTCTATTATGACAAGATGTTAACCTTGTCACTTGGTTATTCTAGTGTCTACCAAGTTACTATTTTCCCCGTTATAAATAATAAAAAATTCATAGCATCTGCTTCTTGAGTTGACCTCTGCTGCTTTCTTCCTGATACTGTGCAATGAGACTCTTGTCTTGAAGAAGGATTTTCCAAATTCCTTCTCTGCCCATGTTAGCCCCTCCACCTTCTTCCAGGTTTCAAAGGGTTCAAAGGCCTTTTGCAGATGTTTTGATCAAGTGGCATGTGCCTGGGTGCCTGCTCTCCAGCAGGAGAGGGGTTAAATACTTTCGGAGAACTTCAGCACTGAACTGCCAAGTCTCTTAGGTTCAGCTCAGCAATCAAACTGCATAACCTAATAGAGCCCCTGGTGCTACGGGAAACACAAGACACTGATTTATATTTTAATATCAGTAATTTCCACAAGAGCAACATTTCTGAGTGTCATTTTACAATTTCTGTCAAATGCCAGCTCAGTTTTTCTTAATTCTGTTTATTTTGTCTGAATTTGCAACCTCATCGGCAATGCAGATTCTTGGCTCCCGGGAGAGAAGAACATTTCCATCTTTTTCTGGAATGGGAGGGATGGAGATAGGGGCAGAAATGGGCTTATGAAATAATTGGAAATGTAAATAAAGTATTGTTTATTAAGAATGATGATGAAGTAATTTTAGTTTAAAAAGGAGGGGCAACACTGAACAAACTTTGCAAAAAAAGTGACAAACAAAAGAGGTGTCTGGGATCCAAACTGGAGTCTTTCCTCCCAGAATGGAGAACTGTTCTGTACAGTGCAAAACTGAGAAAAGGGAACCAGGGTGGGGAATACTTGGCATGTGTACTGTAAGACCATTGCTATGGCCATTAGCCCTATAGCAGGTTGTAAAGGTCTTTAAGGATCAAAGGTGCACAGCTGTATAAATGCCAGATGTTGCCATTAGGAAGAAGGAGCCTGGTTCTCTCCTGTACTCTTTGAACATCTAATAAGAGTAAGAACAAAGCTGGTGCTGTTGGCACCAAACCACATTGACTCAGTGTGCTCAGGGCCAAGTGTGCTTCCTGAGGCCCTTACATGCCCACTAATTCACTGTGGACCTGTGCAGCTCCAGTTTCTGCATTGGTGCTTTCCTGGACAGTTCATGGACCATCTTCTGGAATAGCTCAACTTAATGCTCTTCTTTGAAGCCTAAAATTTAGCTTCAGCTGGAGAGTGTCTCTCCTTTGGCTATAACATAAAGCCAGCCAAGACTCAGAAGTGAGGCCTCTGTACCCTGGTGAAGCTTCTTGTGTGACTACTCTGGCCTTTCCCAAGTGGGAATGTCATTAGTCTCCATAATCCTTCTTTTCTCCAAAGCCACAGGCCCATTAGGTCACAGCGAGCCCAAAGCCAGTTGCTCTGCCTCCGGTTGCCGTTAAGATCTAGTGCTTTTCACCAGCATCCTTCAGCTCCATACACTCTAAATCCAACATCATGTCTCATTGCCAAACCTCCGGCAGAAGCCGTGTTGAGTTTCTCAGTGGAGCTATCGACCACATTGACTGAAGCCGCAGTAACGTGTTTCTCCCCGTCCAAAAGGGTAAAAATAACAGGAACAAGTTGTCGGAAATGAAATTTCAATTCATCCACGCCCTTTCTACACTTCTGCTGCGACTCCCAAGCAGGGATCAATAGTGTTTAGACAGCCAAGGAGATTTTTTCCCCTCTTAAAGCACCAGATCAATAGTAAAAAAAAAAAAAAAAAAAAAAATCCTCCAGCCCTCTGTATGTGTTGTAGTAAATGTGAACAAATCAGAGGCCTTCGGCTAAATGGATTGACTGAAGGCAGCAGCAGTCCGGAGCTTTGTAACTAAGAGCGCATCAACCGCGCAGGTGGTGATGAGGGAGGAAAGCCGCCAGGCCTGGTGAACCCCAGTGCTCCCTCAGTTCCTGCAACAAGGAAGCTTCAAAGGGAATTTCTGTCCCCAAAATGGAGGGAGAAAAATAAAAAGATTCCTGTGAATTGCAGCATGTGGGTGTAATTGAAAAAAAAAAACACTAGGAAAAGTCAGGACCATTCTCGGAAATGCATTTTATTGGAAGACTGTTTGGGTCACACTTCCTCTTCATTTTGTCTTTGCTTTTTAAATTTTAATTAAAAAAATTAAAGTTCTCAGGTATCTATGACTTTCTCTCATTGCTTCACAAGTTTCCAATCCACCATGCCATCCATCCAGCTTGCAAACATCTTCTCCCCACGGAAGATTTGGAACGCTGCTTTTCTGGGATAGTTCAGCCCAGCATGGTGATTTCTCTGACTCACCTGGTTTCCTCATTTGCCATCACTGATGTTCTCTGAGGCCTCTTCTATCTCTTCCTCTTCATCCCATTATTCATGTGAGAGAGAATTGGGTAAAGGCTCAATTCTGATTTTCTTCAAATGATTTACCCAGGAGCAATCTTCTCCCATTATGAAAATTTCTGTATTTTATTACATCCTTTTTTTTCTACCATAGATAAATAATACAGTGTGCAGATATTCACATGGATATTCCTGTCATTAGACTGACTTCCAGATTTGGTCTTTCTGTTTCAAGGAGGGCACCAATAGATTGCAAACCCAATTAATAGTGTGAGAAGCTGAAGACTTCTAAGGTAGATTGCCACAACACAATTCTTCAATTTCACTAGGAAAAGCCAACCCAAGGACTCAAAGGACCATCACATAGCAGGTGCTACTTTGTGGGATTAAAAAATTATTCAGGTTGTGAAATCCAAAGGTGAACTACTATAAACATGTGAATGTCAGCCTTTGTTATAAAAGACTTGTTCTTCTTGTCAATGATTATCATGCTAACTTCTGTAATGAACTGAGAGTCTATGTGAAATAAAGCATTGGCTAAATCTAATACAGAAACATATAAAAATGATAGCATGTCAACATGTATTAACTTAGATAATATAGTTTATAGTAGGGTTGGTTAAATAAATGTTTATAGTCACAGATAAAAGAAATGATTCTTACTGATTATGCTATAAACAGAAGTTTCTCCTGGAGTCACTTCCTGCCTCCTGTGTGCCCATACTTTAAACCAGACCTGTTCTCCTTACTGTCAGTGGCATATCTGAAGAATATTCTAGGAGAAGAGAGATGCACCTCAATCATTTTAAATAACAAGACGTTAGATCTTAGGGAGGGAGGACTGTGCAATCATTGCACATGTGCCCTTAGATCCGGCCCTGGTGGGTCCCCAGGAGTGACTGAGGCTCCAGTCACTCTTGTGTTGCAGGCCCTTCCACACAGTTGCTCTGTCACGTCTTCACATAGGTCTGCTCCCTCCCCTGGGGACGGTCAGGGCCCATTCTTACTCCACCTGGGCACAGCACAATACTTTGCAGCTTCCTTATATCCTGCCTACACCTTGTCCCTTTATGAACCACTCCATGAATTACTCAGCTGTAGCATGCCATCTACTTCCTGCAGAGACCCCGATTAATATGGTAGATGATGGAGAGTCCCATTAGCAGTTGTACTAGTTTTGCTGGGCTGGCATAATAAAGCATCACAGCCTAGGTGGCTTTAGCAATGGAAATCCATTGTCTCATAGTTCTGGGTGCCAGAACTCTAAAGCCAAGGTGTGGGCAGGGCTGGTCCCTTCTGAGGGCTGAGGGAGGACCTGCTCCATGCTTCTCACCTGGCCTCTGGTAGTTTGTCTCCATCCCTCCCAGATGTGCCTTTTAGCTCACATCATCTTCTCCCTGTGTGCGTATCTGTCTCCAAATTTGCCTTTTATAAGGACACGAGTCATACTGAGTTAGGGACTCACCCTTCTCCAGGATGGCCTCATCTTAACTAATTACATCTGCAACAATCCTATTTCCAAATAAGGTCAGAATCTCAGGTACTGGGGGTTAGGACACTAGTGTATGAATTCTGGGGGACACAATTCAACCCATAACATCAGTTAACTATGTTCAACTGTCTTCTATTACACTAAAAAGGTGTCTCTCCTGATGGGGAGGGTATAGCTCAGTGGTAGAGCGTGTGCTTAGCAATCCCTAGTACCGCCATTAAAAAACAAACAACAAAAAACCTAATTACCCTACCGCAGAATCAATCAAACAAACAAACAAACAAACAAAAGTGTCTCTTCTGACATCTATCTATTTTCCGCTCTCCCTCCTCCCTTCTCCTCACCACTCACCTTCATGATGAATTGTTTGCATTTGCTGTCTCTTTGTATTTCCTCTGCCACTTTCCTCGCACCCCCACCTCACCACCCCAACCCTGGCAGCAGCAACTCTGATTGGCGAAGGTCAAACTTTTGTTGTCAGATCCAATGGACTCTTTTGGGTTCTTATTGTATTTGACAAACTTGACACCAGTGGCTACTTCTTCCTTCTACAAACACTTTCTGTTCTTGGTTTCTGAGACCCTCTCTTTATTTTCCTCCTGCTTTTCTGCTGCTCCTCAATTTCTTCAGCAAGTACCTCTCCTTCTGCCCATTCCAAAGGTTCTTTCTCATTTTACATCCTCCCTGGCCTATTTTCTCTATTCTGTCACATAAAAACCTCTTTGGTTTCTCATGTGGGTCTACCTATAGAGAGAGAGAGTGTTCTGGTCATATGGACTAAGGGTATTCCAGCTCCCATGACAGCAGTTTCTCACTGTATATTCATTAACTGGCTATTCATTCTTTCAATAAATATTACTGAGTATCTACTATGTGTCAGGTACTTGTCTACTCACCTGACATAAGATAGTGAACAAGAAAACACAGTCCTTCAATCTATAGAGTTTACAGTCTAGAGGGAGATACAGGTAGGTATGCCCACAATTCTAATCGAGTGTGATGACTGCCGTTAGGGATGTTCAGGGGATCAGGGTGGGAGCACATGCTTGGAAAAAGAACTCAGGCTTGATGGTAACTGATTTCAGTTATTATTCATATGAGGATTGTTCCCAGAACAAAATCTCCAACCCAGATCTGCATCTGAAGCTCCAGATCTATATATACAACTGCCTTCTAGACAGTTATTCTTGATTGCTCCACAGATCTCTGCAATTCAAAATCTCCAAAACTAAACTCATAATCCTCTGTTCCAAACCTGCTACTCCTCCTTTGTCACCTATTTTATTTATTTAACAAACACATATAACAGTGCCAGGCAATGTTCTGAGCATGTCACAATTAACCCACGTAATCTGTATAACAACTTTAGATATAGGAACTCTGGTTATCTTCATTATAGATGAGAAAATGAGGCACAGAGAGGTTAAGTAACTTGCCCAAGACTACACAGTAGTAAGTGGTAAAGCAGTGATTCAAACCCAGGTAGCCCAAGTCCAGGTAGCCCAAGTCTGGAGTTTGTGCTTTTAACCAGTATTACACACTACCGCAGTGAAAGGCACTACCACCCACCCCATTCGTTCAAGCCCAGAAATGGGAGCGCCATGTTGATTCTTCTCTCTCTCTTTCTCGGTCACTTCCACTCCCAGTCCCTTTATTGTATTATTCTTCAAGTAAGTCCTGCCTGTTGTATCTTCTAAACAAATCTTCTATAGGCACTCCTCTCTTCATCTCTAATGACACTGCCCATTCCTCCAGCAACTAGAGATATGATCATGTCATTTACTTGCTTAAAACCTTTCAATAATTCTCCATTGCTCTCATGACAGAGTACAGATTCTTAAGATGGTTGATGGGCCCTCCTTGACCTCTGTGCTGCTCTCCTGACCCTCCTCCCTGCCCTTCTTCACATTCCCCACTATAGCTCTACTGAACTATAGTCAGTTACTCAGACATACCCCGCATCTTTTTCATGCTGCTTGTGCTATGTGCATCATTCCATTTCCCTCCTTCTATCATCTTTGGGCTAACTCCAGCTGATGTCTCAGGATGCAGGTAAATACTATTTCCTTTATAAAGTCTTATCTGGCTCCCCAAGCCTGGAAGCATGTGCTCCCATCCTGATCCCTTGAACATCCCTAGCAGGGAAGTCATCACACTTGATTAGAATTGTGGGCATACTTGTCTGTATCCCCCTCTAGACTGTAAACTCTATAGACTAAAGGACTGGGTTTTCTTGTTCACCATCTTATGTCAAGTAATAGACAAGTACCTAACACAGAGTAGATATTCAGTAATATTTATTGAAAGAATCAATAGCCAATTAACAAATATACAGTGAAAAATCACTGTCATGGGAGCTGGAATACTCTTAGTCCATATGACCAGCACATTCTCTATAGGTAGATACACATGAGAAACCAAAGAGGTTTATGGGTGACAGAATCAGGACTTAGGGATATCTAAAAAGTCCAATATTGAATGGCAACTGGCTAGGATAGTGTCATATAACTATCTCAGACAGCAAACGTCTCACCAATGGAGCTGGTGCTATCAGTCTGTTGACCAAGACATTCTGTCTCCTGGACATCACTAGGAGGGGTCCAGACATCATTCCCTCTATGACTGTGTTCTCCTGCCTTGCTGTATCACAAGACTGATAATCTCCTTCCTTAAATAGGCTACTCTGGCACAGTCTGGTTTTGCAGACCTGAGAGCTGTTCTGTCTCTCGAAGATGACTCTAGACATGGTTCAGCTCTTCCAGAACAATCTTTCTTTCATTTTCAAGTACTAGGGTAAACCCTCCTGTAATTCACTATGAAGTGGCAAAGTATCCCAAAATGTTACTGTAGTTCAGAGGTGCAGTGGTTCATTCTTCATCAGACAATCAAGAGACTTTGTGGACGTGGTTGCATTGGATCTTGCATGTGACTCTGATACAGGAAGATGCGCTGTATTCTAGGAAACTGGGGAGAAATGAGAATTTCCATCTAGAGCCAGGAGAGTAGGAGAGGTAAATTTATAAAAAGCTTCAGATGCTAGGATGCAGAGTCTAGAGTTTATCTAGAGGCAATAGGGAGCAATTGAAGGTTTTTGAGCTGTAGAGGGACACCTCAAGAGTTGCTTCAGGCAGTTTAGCCTGGCCTCTGTGTGTAGGAGACTGGATAGAGAGAAGTAGGAAGAAGGGGAGAAGTCCCAGAGAGCTAGACAGGAATTAGGAGATGACTATTTTCAAATAAAATTAGCCAGTTGAGCAGAGTGACAGGTTAAGAAATTTGTTTCTTTAATTTGTCACTATAATAGTATAATATTACATCAAATATATAAACACATCATCCTGAAGTTTCTTGAATACTGATTAAAAATGAACAAACAAAATAATTTCATTTCTGAAGAAATATTTACTAAATGAAGACTGGTGGTGGGTGAGATTTAAAATTGCGCCATTGGGACAATACTGTATTACTGAATGGTTCACTTTCTTCAACCACTAGATCTGTCTACAGATTAGATCTGGGTACAGTGGGCTCCAAGTTCTGTCCACATCCAACTGGTGGGGCAGAGTAGTCTTAGGAACTAGTCAGGTATTCATGTCTCAGAAACCTTTTTTGATCTAAACAATTTTTGTTTCGGTGGGATCCACCTTGTATCCTGTAGAATTATTTGTCCAACATTTCAAAGGGTTGTCAAGGTGAGATGAAGATAGAACTGATTTTGGAAGGGAGAGGGGCAGGTAGACTACTTATATCAAACTCATTTATATTTCAAAGTGCTTTTCCTGTAGCTGTTCTCCAGTGATCAAGTCGTGGAGGGAAGGGTGAGTGAGGTGGTTACATATGGGCGCTGCTATTGTTACGTTGGAAAATACTTTTTGATGAACAGTCATTTCCTTCCACTGCCAGAGGGTGTTGATAATGAGCAAATTACCTTTTACTCCCTCTGGTGTGGATGTGAAATTGGCTGTTAATAGAGTTGCTAATGCTACCGGGTTAGCATGTGATTGTTCTATTTTAAGCCAATTTAAGTTATATTTGGGGAGTAGCCAATCAGACTCCTCGCTAAGAAAATGGGCCCGACTGCAACATTTAATATCGAGAAACCTGCCTCACCCTCAGATGTGGCTGGGAGCAGAAAGTGCTGAACATGCCGTCGTTAACATGAGATGTTTTAATACAATGTCTTTTTCCTTTCGTAGGTACAAGAATGGTCTCATTAGGCAAATACCAAATGTTTTCATCATTGGATGGGACCCATTTCAAACCTCAATAATATGGAATGCTATCAG